AAAGAAAGAAAGAAAGAAAGAAAGAAAGAAAGAAAGAAAGAAAGAAAGAAAAGGGAGAGGAGGAGGAGAAGGTGGCTGACTTTTCCCATCCATGCCTGCACTACTGCTTCGTTCTCTGTAGAAGGACACAGGGTGCTGGGAGATAGCTCAGTCAATTCAATGTCTGCTACGCAAACATGAACATCTGAGTTTGGATCCTAGGGACACGTGTCACAGCAGGCACATGCTTGTCATGGGGAGAACAGAGACAGGATGACCCTGGTTGAATCAATGAGAGACCCTTTCTCAAAAACTGAGAAGCAATGGAGAAAGACACCCAACACAATCTCTGGTCTCCTTATGTGCGTACACACACACACACACGCACATGCACATGCATGCACACACACTCATGTGAAAGGTAATTTACTGACTGAGCTATTTGCCCAACCTCCTGGCTTTGCATTTAACAGCCTTCATTGCTCTCACGTAGGACAGTCATTCTAACTGTTTGTCTGCCCAACCCTGATGGTGTTTTACAATCTAATACTGTTTACAAGCCAGTTCTAGCATTGATTCCAGTATCGAGCAATCCATCCTTTCTGTTTCCCAGGGTCCTCCACCTGCACCAGGTGAATAAACACACCAAGCCCCTTGGACTCCGAAAGAGGGACTGAATGGGCCGAGTGTGGCTAAAGGCAGCTAAAGGCAGCTGGGTGCTGGCTATGAGCAGGCAGAGTCCTTCCTCTCGTGGGACAACAGTCGCCCTCCACCTTGCCCTGCGACACCCACCAGTTCTAACAAGCTCAGCCCCACTGGAGAGCCATGAGTCAGGGATGTCTTGTGAACCTTCCCTTATATGAACGCTGTGTGCAAGTTGCCTACCTGTGCTGGATATTAGTTTGTTTACAGGAAACGTGAGGAAGCCAGGAGTCTTCCTTGCAGTGTGTGTGGGGTGCCATGATACTTCAGAAGACATCCTGCCTTCTCTCTGCCTGTCCCCATTGCAAGTAAGGTCATGGAGTGTGACGGGTTCTCCCAAAAACTGAGGATTCCAGGTTATATGTGGAGGAAGGGACATAAGAGAGGATTTCCAAGACCCATACTCTGGGAAGCCATGTGCTGCTGAGGGAGACCCTCTGAGGAGCAGGGAGAAGATTCAAGAAGATGCAGGGTGGAATAGGATGATACCTTCTTGGGAACAGGAAGGAAGGAAACCTCACTTCTACAGAGATTTCCATGGTTGCCCCCACTGTCCTTGGGTCTACAGGACTTGCCCACACATTTCCAGGGGAGGAGACGAAAATCAGAATCTCGGTTCTTTGCGCATCTGCACTACAGACAAAATCTAGGTGTGGCTCAGGTACCCCACACAGCTGTACAGATGCTGCCCGGAAACTCCCAGACAGCTCCAGCTATCTAGGGACCAGGATGGCCAAGCCAGATGCTAGCAAGGTCCAGACTGACATGTAGGGCTACTGATGCTACATGCCAGGTACAGGGTCAAGCATTTCACACATGCTAGTTGACTTCACCTTACATCCAACTGACTAAGTGGCTGCTATTACCGATCTCATTTGACACAGATGCAGTCAGTCACAAGTACATAACTCAGTGTCTCACTGCCAGCGTCTTTAATTCCTGAAGGCCAGAACAAATGGGAAATGAAATACGGCAGTCTCAGTTCCTGCGACGACCACTACTCTAGTCTCTGGCCATCTCTACCTTCTCTGCCTCCTTTGTCTTCCGCGTGAGTCTGGCCGCAAACAGCCACCCCAGTCTCCAGGGTCTTCCAGTTCAGTTGACTGTCATTTCCTAACTTCTTCCTGCTATAGTGGAGATGCTGACCAGAGAGGCAGCACCAAGCAATGACTTCCTGCTAAATACTTAGTAGCTGGCTCTTCAAACAGACAGGAGATGGCTCAGCCAGTCAGGGGTTTCCCGTGCAAGCATGAGGACCCGAGTTTGATCCTTAGGATACATATAAAAAATTCGAGTGTGGTGGACTGCAGTAATTCCAGAGCTGTGGAGGCAAAGACTGGCAGATTCCTGTGCTTCTGGCCAGCCAGTCTCGCCAATGAGCCTCAGGGAAGGGAGAGAGTCTGATTCATAAAGACAAGACCATGAAAGCAGACAGAGCCTGAAGAATGCACTCAGGGTTAGCCTTCAAGCTCCACACCGGTGGACACAGGAACGTGTCGTGGTTGATTACAGGCTACCAACACCCCTGAATGTGTAAACAGAAGAGGTGTGCACCATCTGAACACCTGCTCTTATGAGTCAGGGCAGCCACCGCACCACTGACTGCCTGTGTGTGTGTGTGTGTGTGTGTGTGTGTGTGTGTGTGTGTGTGTGTGTG